CACGTTTTTGGATGAAAAAAAGTGAACGTCAAGATTGCTTACCTTCACATGCTGATTTCCCCAACATTTGGTATGGTGTCTGCTTCCTATGTTTTTTGTTGGGTTGTTGGAGCTTTTGCTCAACTAAGTCATAAACAAGGTTTACACTCCCATTATTACATTGAGGACTGGTTTATGTTAGCTTCAGCCCAACATATTGCTCACAAACACACTCAGTTGCTTCTTCATTGAGTGGGGTAGTCCTTTTTTTGTATCCAGACCCAATAATTTTTCTATTTGGGAATATCCCACCCCTTCTCCAGTTGGGTGCAACCTTCTCCTTTTCATCTACAGTCAGTGTATCTCATGGTTCTGTCCCTTTTCCCTACTCCACTTATGGCTGATTTTGCCTTATAGCTCAACAAGGACAGCACTATTGTAGGTGTACCTCTTCCACCTCCACAGCCCAAATTTCATCTGTTTACAGATACTTCTCTTATGGGTTGGGAGTGATTATGGATTTTCAAGGCATTGTGGGTCTTTATACTTCAGTAGAGATCACAATTCACATCAATATCCTTGAGCTTCTCGCCATCCATTGGGTTTGGATCATTTCCTGATTTAATACAAATCAAGGTGGTCTTGATCCATTCTGGCAGTTCAACAGTTATTTTTCACATCAATTGACAACGTGACACCTATTCACATTCCCTTTGTTTTTGGAAGTTGGAACTTCTGTTCTGGTCCCAGTTGCATCATATATGCTTCTTGGCATGTCATTTTCCAGGTGTTTTGTATCTTGTTACAGGTTGATTATCTCATCCGAACAAGATCATTCCCATAGTTTTGTCCCTCGATTCTCAGGTGTTCTGGTGGTTATTCAGCTAATGGAGTATTCCTCTTCTGGAGGCATTTGCCACCCATTATCAATTCCATACTTCTTTTTTTGGTTCCCAGAGTTGCCACATCCATTGATTTTGGCAGTGGACACCTTCAGTAAGATTGTTCCAATTTTACCTGTATGTCTATCCTCCTATTTAATTTTTCCCCTGAGTTTTGTCGTTTATCCATTGCACTTCATATCATATTCTTCTGAACTCAGCTTTCTGGCCAGCTAAACCTTGGTTTCCACTCCTTACCATTGTTTAGTTGGTACCTCCTTTACTACTTCTTCTTTCCCAATCCCTCCTTCATCAACCTCAGTCACTGGTCTTTTCATCCCACAGTTAACACACTCTGGCTTCGTGCGTGGGTTTTGTCCGGTCCCTTGCAAGGCAGTCCAGATTGTCTGCATGTGTAGCTTCCATTCTTTCTCCTTCCATGCATCCTTCCTTACTAATGGTGTATCAGAAAAAATGCCATAGTTTTTGCCATTGTTACCTTTTTTTCCTTCCTTTTATTCCTCTTGTCTCCGAAACTTTCATCTGGTCATTCGACAATGGTTCTTCTATGTCTACCATTTGTGGATGTTGGTCAGCCTTGTCCAATACATTCCATTTTTCATGTTTTTGCAGAGTGTTTCACTCTCCAACCTTTTCTCTTTGGTTACATTCCTTCCAGATCCTTCGATCTCTTCATCCTATGCTCCTTCCTGATTGAAACTTTAAGGTTGTTCTTCACACCCTTGCTCAAACCCCATTTGAACTGTTGGCTACCTATTCCTATACCATTTGTCACTCAAGATCTGTTTCCTGCCCTTTTTTTGCCTGTGGTAGTAGTCAGTCAGACATTTTTGCCCTCGACATATCACGTGTTGTTTATCGCCTTACCAGTGTTTTACTGTATTCAGATCATAGTTCTTACCAAAACATTGCTGGATTGCAAAGTCAACATCTACTTTCCACCAATTTTGCTACATTTCATTTCCCATTTGTTTCCTCTTTCTGATCTGGATAAATTTCTATGTCCTATGCATGCTCTTAGATGTTACATTGCTTGCACGCTACCCTTCTGTGGTTCCCATTCTCATTTGTTTATCCTTTAGAAACGTTTCCTCTTAGAGAGGTATTTCACCTATCATCCTCACAGGATGGTTGTGCCAACTTATCAGATTGGTTTCTTCTTCCTGGTCTCCTGATTCCCATTGTTTTTTCTTACCTTTTCCTTTTCCCTGGCTGTTCATCTTCGTCATCCCTTGGTAGTAATCATCCAGGCTGGCATGTGGGCCACATCAAACACTTTCATCTCCCATTATCTCCATCATGTAGCCATTTACTCCTCTTCTGAATATTGCATACTGCCTATTACCATACTCCACACATAATCCAACTGTGAGTGGGTAATTTTTTTTATATTCCCTTCTTTCCCTTACAGGGCACAAGATTTTCTCTATGGCAAGTGTTGCTTGTCCAGATATACTATTTGGCTGAGGAAACCATCTCCTGGATGTCAGTTCCCAGGAGGTCTGGTTACGGAAAGGAGCTGGATCAGCCACCAAATCCACACTGTATGACCTTTCAGTTCTGTAATGCACAGTGTTGTGTTCCTCCCTACTCTTCAATGCACTATAACCCCCCCCACCCCACCTTCTGCAAGTGGAACAAGGGAGTCCTTACCACTTACCAGCTTCTAGCCACTGGGGTGGTGGCCCATGGAGGCTTCCTCCTGAATGAGCTCAAACCCATTCAGATAAGAATGGGGCAATGGTGTTCTGTTGTTGCAGAGAGTGTTGAACACTATATTTAGTTTACCCCTCCAGCTGGGAACCTTCATCCTACTGGTGGTCTGGTGTTGTATTAGAGCTGGACCAGCCAACATAGCCCTCATACATGTGGTGGTAGGGAGCCCTTGTCCTTACGCATACTGGATAATAAATGCCCACTGCTGCCAGGTTATCAATTTGAGTGAATCACCATGTTGAACTCACTCTTCCTATCACCATCCAGATGTTAGTTTTGTGGGTGGCTGCTGTTGGATGTGTATCGGCAAACATATGCATGGTGGAACAGAATTCATTTTCCCTTCTCCTTCCTCGTCTTGAGATCCAACAGCAAACCAGACTATAAATATCCGATACTACATGGTTTGGATTGGAGATGACCAACTGATTATGGTCTGACATGCCTCAGCCACTCTACACCATTATGCATATCCAAATCCATATTGGATGTGCTCCTTTTTTCTGCCCAATTTAGTGACACATCTGTATACCTGGTTCAAATGGGGTGCAGTCTCCCACATCTGTGTTCATTTAACAAGAGAAGTCACACTCCACTGGTGTTATTCAGACACCTTCCAAAGGGTGCTCATCTAGGTAAATTTTACACCTGTCTCTCCACCAGGTCAATGTGAGATTCTACATGTTATGTGAGTGAAGGTAAGATATCATATCGGAAGTTAATATTTTCCTACACTGAAATTATATTTCCGATATATACTTAAATCACCGCACACTTCACACCCTTCCTTCCCACGTCTGGTGCTTCTTTTCTGACAAATCTTGAAGTGAATATTGAGTTCTACAGTATAGAGGGAGCCAGCTGCAACAAGAGAGTGCTCTCCTCTTAGTGGAGGGTTGTTACATGCTTATTTGCATGGTACAATGCAACTGAACCATGTAGAAATATGGGTTAGGTGGAAGTTTCAATGTTTGTGGCGAGCGAAAAAATTAGCAGATATAAAGGGCAGCAATGTATGAGAAAAGCTGTTATGTGAGTGGAGGTATCGGAAATATATTTTCAGTGTAGGAAAATATTTCACATGAGAATATTGTTAGGTAAGATAAAAATAATGATTCTTCACAAAGTGTGCTTTCAAGCAGTTCTGCATTTCATCATTCAATATGATTGCATGAGCTACATGTTTGCTAGTTTGTTTTCATTTGTGATTTACAATTTGTATGGCAGGATTATTAGTTAGACATAGTTGAAAGGGCAATAAAACAATAAAATTAAGTATAAACAAAATTAGACAGTTGCAAGCTTTAACCTATTTAAGATAAATGACTGTAGTTTCATGTTACAGTTTTCAGTCATTTTATATTGAAAAAATGTAATTTAAATTTATTTCATATTTTGTTATGGTGGTTACAAAATCAGTCAAATTGACCAAGTGCATATAGGGTTAAGGTAGAGAAAAACCCATAAAATATTAAGTTTTACTGGGAAAAAACTATTTAGGGGTTTTTAGAAGTTACACAAATGAAATTTGTCAATTTGCAGAAGAAGAAAAGTATTTTTAGTTTTACATGAAAATCACTTTGCACATGGAGCAATAATCAGCACTGACTCCATATATTCACAGACAAATCTTTAGTAAAAATATATAATTAAAAAATTTGGTCTTTTGTGTACAAAAGACATGTAATGCTTACTAAAAGCTTGCCAAATTTTATGAATATAAAAAAAAGCATGTTAAAAGTTATAGTGTGGAAACTAATGATTACTTTGTGGTTACGAGGTTGGTTGAATTGATCAAACCTATGTGGAAAGTGTTAAGCATCAAGATATGTGTTGAACTAACTTGCTTATTAAGTTGTGGCTCTATTTAGTAATTACTTAGCTTTTTTTTGTACTAAGACTTTGTTCATCATTGACCAAGTTAACATCTTAAAATAATCTTAATAAAGGCATATTCTAATATGTTTGATCTGTTAGGTGTCCTTAAATTTTTATGCTCTTCATGTGTATCTTCAGCCCTCTTCTTTGAATATGATTTATCTTTGTGGACAACAAAGACACGTAAATTAATAAACCATGTTTGATGTCTTTAGAAGTATCTTTATGTTTATAAAGGAATTTTTGAAGATGACATCCTGGTTTAAAAATGAATCTTAATAATCATATGTTTAGATATACTTTATGAAAGAGGATATACAACTGCTTTTTTTAAAAAATATAGGCAATACTATGAATATTGAATTTAGAAACTTTCATACATTAGTCATTAGTGGTTTTGCAAATGGTAAAATTATTTTTACTATCAAATAGATAAGAAAAGCATTCTTGCAAGAGAATTTCTTGATGTTTTATACTCTTTCAAAACTAAATTTTTTAAAATGGATTTGTTGATTATAATTTCAGTTGCTATCAATCACTGAACAGTTGAGCCAACTTGCAGCAGAAAGTAAAAGTAAAAAGAAGAAAAAAAGGAAAAAGAAATCCCCAGAAGAAAATTCACAAGAAGTAAAAGCTGTGGTAAATGTTTCAGTCTCAGAACCAGCCACAATTCTCCAGTCTAATGCAGTGTCAGTGAACAGCACAATGCCAGCCCCACCACCATCTGTAAAAGATACATCTCAAATGAAAACTCAAAAACAAAGTAAAAGTAAAAATACAAAAGCACACACTCAAGGTAAATCGGTAGGGCAGCCAAAAAGACAAAAGACAAACAATAAATCTTCAAAGAAAGGAAGTAAAAGTGCACCTATTATATTTGACAGCGAAGATGAAGACAATGCAAAACCTATGTCGTATGATGAAAAAAGACAGTTAAGTCTAGATATCAACAAACTACCAGGTAAGTACTTTTATCTTATTTTTAGACCTCTCAAAGGGAAATTACTTTCTCGTATCTAAAGCATTTTAGCCAGCTTGTTTCACGTGTATGTTTATATAATAAAAGTTTCCAGATGATTTATTTTGCAAAGTTTTGAACCCTAATCAGTTTTAATCCCCTTTTCCATCTTTTGTTATGACCAGTAGTAGGCTTTGGATGGCAGTTTAGTGGGTCTTCCTGTGTAACCAGCCAGTGTCAGAGAATTTTATGGCCAAATCTGTTTCACTTTTTCATGATTAGATTTTCCAGAATTTGTCACCCACCTTTGTTGGTCTATAAATGAGGTATTGGGTAACCTCAGAGCATATTTAAAAATTAATCTTCCAACCTTTCTAAAATCCACACATGAATTAAGTCTTGAGACTAGAAAATCTTTTTAATTCAGTTGTTTCTGGTGAAGGTAAAGATATATATATATATATGCTTGAAAATCTTGAAATTACCATTTATTTTAATCAAGGCCTTTAAGCCTATGGTCCATGGTGCCATTTTTAAATTTATTTTTACATTACATTCAAAATTTAATTAACCACTTTATTTTCAATATGTACTAATGATATTAACATTATAATGTATGTCAGAATTTTGATTTTATGTTATCTAAGTTATAATTCCTTTACTTCAAAGGAAACCTTAAAAAATATACTTAAACTTCAGTTTTTGTCATATGACTTCGCATGCTACTGAAAATCTTGACTTCAGCAGAGGTTCAGCATTAGCCACATAAGCTGCAAGTGTACATGTTTATGTATATGTAAACTACTGGTGTTTGACCGACTTGCCTTCTGATACCAAAGTCTACAAGCTGCTTTGTCTGGGAAACAGCTATAAATTTTCCAACCCTTGATGGGTGCGACACCCACCTTCTGTACTTTGCCTTGATATCTACAACGTACATGTAGGTTGTAGAAACCAATTTATATACTCGTTAGAAAGACATCAATTTACACTTTTCTTAACCAGCAGTTAATTTCAAATGGGCATGCAGTCTTTCTCACAGTATACGTGTTTCTGCTCTTAGTATTCTTGTCTGCTTGATTGAATGTAGCATTTACAGTGGTTAATTTGAAATTGGCATGCAGTTTTCCTCACAGTATACATATGTCTACTCTTAGTATTCTTGTCTGCTTGAATGATTATTGCATTTATAGTTGTTTCTTGCCTAAATATGCTACAATTAAAGAGACAGTTAAATTGTATTTATGTTTAATAATTTTTTATAAGTTTAACTTGTTGTCGTCTAGATTGTAAAAGTGAATCAAGTTAAGAGTTGTTGTACAAGTGTGCCTGTGTGGGTGTCACCTTATAATAATAATAATAATAATAATAATAAAGCCCTGAGGGGACCAATTTATGTATTCTGCATAAATATTGAAAGACAAAGAATTGGAAAGGAAAATTAAAATTAAACTAAGTGAAAATATAAAGACATTAAATTACACATATTAAAAAGCTAAGTTTCAAATTACTTCTACAAAGAGCTAAAAGGTATGTACATATTCCCATTTCTTAATTTTAAACATTTCATTGCAGTGTATGTTGATGATAATAGATAGGGTTAGTGATATAGTAGAGAAATGGAAAATAAAAAATAAACATTTACCTTAAAAACTTTTGATATTCATTTTGGAGGTTCTAGAGATTATGAAAATTGCAAGGTAATAAATGGTATTTTTATACTTCATATAAAAATCACCTCAGGTGAACTATTCAGAGTCCGAGTGCAAATAACTACATTAAATAACAAATGTTTTCATTTCAAATAGTAAAAAAATCAAAATTAAGTATTTAATTTTTCTGAAAATACAAACTTTTAGGAAAGTTCTTGTCAAATTTTAAATAATTTCATCAACTAGTTTTATTTTTGTAATGAAATATGATGAGATGGAGTAATAGGCTTAAATCCCTAAAAGTATACATGTTACAGTTGAAATCGTAGAAAAGCCCTTGAAAGGTTAATTTCTAATAAAAGTAGACAACTGATGAACAAATGACCATCCTCAGTTAGATAATTCTCCATGTATGGGTTTGGTCATTTTAACTGACCTTTTAACCACCATGTAACTATGAAACTATATATACTACAACTTTTATTGTAGCAAGTGTATCTTCATGAAATTGGCAAAGTTTTAGTAAACAAACATTACAAGTCTGTTGTACACAAAAACACAGCTTTATTATCTTAATATTTTTAATTAAAGATTTGTTTGTGAACTTATGGAGTCAGTCTGATTCAGACTCTGACTGACCCTCATGATTTTCATGTTAAGATTGAAAATACTTTTTTCATGTTACATTTTTCAAATTTTATTTGAATAACTTTTAAAACCTCCTACATGAACATAAAAAGTTTCTCATTTTATCACCAACAACTCACAGACACCTTTTGTAGAAGAATCCTCAGTCCGCCCACACATATATACATAAAACCCTGACAGTAACTTAATAAGTTTTTAATTTTTACATTTTAGTTAGTTTTATAACAATAGAAATATATATAAAACTCAAGAAATTCAGTAATTATTATCTGGTAGCCTCTAGTTTGTTTTTTCTGTCAAATTCCAGCAGTAATTAACTCTAATTTTTTAAAATGATAGTAGTAGTGTATAGAATCCTATTTATTTTTTCCAAATATGCAATTACGAACACAGAATATTAATATGCAGAAAAATACAATGACCTAAAACTAATAATTTAACTGGCTTACTAACTAATCTGTATGTGTATTCATTTAACCCTATGAACACGGGCTCATGATTTACTTTACACAACCTTTTAAGTACAGTGAAACCATGAAAGTATACATACTATAACTATAAAAGTACTTAATGTATCTACGAAATTTGGCAAGCTTTTTCTTAACATTATAAGTCTTTTGTACACAAAAAATCAGATTTTGCAATTAAGAATTTTACTAAAGATTTGTCTGTGAATATATGGAGTAAGAGTCTTGGGTGCTACTATAGCGTGAGGTCTACCGCTGCATTATCCATCCCTCATGGATATCACACATTTCTATACATTTATTTTAGCGATAAACACTTAATTTGATACAT